TGACAACTTTTCATTTTCTTGTGTGTGTGTGTGTGTGTGTGTGTGTGTGTGTGTGTGTGTTTCTGGGTCAAGGCTGAGTGTATCTGCTGTTCCTGGCGATTTGATGGTTTTTTGCTTCTGATTTTTTTTAATGGTGGGTTTTGTAAAAGGTCCTTTGTGTGGTAACAAAAATGTTAGCAAAAAACCAACTCTTTTGATTTTTCACCATTGATGGGTTTCTGCCAGGAATGGGTTGATCTCCATTGATGATGTAGAGCTTTCATTTGGGCCTCTAAAAGATTAGGGTTTTGCTTTAGCAATAGTCTGCCTGGCTGCAAGAATTTAAAGGGCTTCAAGATTTTTGCTTAAAATCATACAGTAAAAATGATGTCTTTTTTCCTTTACTTTTGTTATGATTTTGAAATCAAGAATGATGATCAAATGCTTGTTGATCCTGCAGAATTAGGGATGGTGAAGTTGTTCTCGTTCCTCCATTTCACATGATTCTCTTGTTACGTCAAAATCGCCCATGGGAATATATTATATTATATGATCATCGACAAACACGATGCAAGGGAATAACAACAGCTCGTATGTGGGTTTCAACCTGCAAGCTCCGATTCGGATCCACGAGACTTTCCCCCTCACAAATGGTACCAATCAAGAAACCCAATGTCTTTCCCTTAGCGACTACAACAAACCCGACCTAAGAGCAAATTCGGCAAGCGATGAGGACGAGCCGAGTTTTAATGAGGATCCCAAGGGGAAAAAGTCAACCTCTCCATGGCAACGCGTGAAGTGGACAGATGCCAAGGTTCGGCTTTTGATCACGGCCGTCTCGTACATAAATGAGGAGATGGGCCCCGAACACGGACCTAAGAAGAAACTCGCAAACTTGCACAAGAAGGGTAAATGGAAATCCGTCTCGAAAGTCATGGCCGAGCGGGGCCACCTAGTTTCTCCCCAGCAGTGCGAGGATAAATTCAACGACCTTAATAAACGATACAAGAGGCTGAACGAGATTTTGGGACGAGGGACTTCGTGTGAGGTAGTTGAGAATCCCGCGCTTTTGGACTTGATGGACCATGTTTCTGAAAAGGCCAAAGATGAGGTCCGGAAAATCCTAAGCTCGAAACATTTGCATTATGAGGAGATGTGCTCCTACCATAATGGGAACCGCTTGCACTTGCCTCCCGACCCGGATTTGCAGCATTCTTTGAGATTGTTGGCCCTCAGGAGCCGAGACGATCACGATGAGGGCGAGTTGAAACGGCATTTGAATGAAGAGAATGACGAAATTGACGATCGAGAAGGGGAATTCGACGAGCGTGAAGAAAATCCAGGCAAACGGGTCAAACGATGCCCGAGGCACGAGGAGTTTAGCTTCAAGAATTCTCTGGGCCCTTTTAATCGCGATGCGGGTGTTAATATTTTGGTGCAAAATGATAATGCGTCTGCTGAGGGTATGAAAGCGAATCTAATTTCACAAACGAGCCAGGCGAGTAATTGGAATAAGCTTCAGCTGGAGGAGCAGAGGCTGCATATAGAGGCCCAGATGCTGGAATTAGAGAAACAGAAGTTTAAGTGGCACAGATTTTGTCGTAAAAAGGATCGGGAGTTGGAGGTGATGAGGATGGAGATTGAGAGGATGAAGCTCGAGAACGAGAGGATGGCTTTGGAATTAAAGCGGATGGAGATGGGTTTGGATGACAATTGATCGAAAGGTACTTATTAGCTTTCGGTTTTGACGGTTTTTTCTTTGTCTGACTGAAAAAATTAAGTTTCTGCTTGAAGCAGGTATGAGTCTTAAAGGATGTGTTTCGAGTATTGTTCTTTTACCGGCTTTTGCTTGTACCTTTTTTCATGAAAGCCTTTGAAGTGCATTTTTAGTTTGTGATTATGGAATAAAATTGTTGTGTGGATGCATTGAGACGTGGATTGTAGTTCTCGACTAGTTACTGCTGGGAAACGTCTAGTACAATTTGTTCCTATTTCAGAAAAATATATTTTTGATCAACAATATTGTCGATATTTGGGTAATTACAGGAAAATGTTTGGGGAGTAATTGTAGTTATTGTCATTTCCATTATCTGCAGGCTATGCTCGTCTTTCACATTGAAACATTTAATGGATAAAAAGGATTCTTTTAGGGGGGGAAATTTTCATTTCTACTGTTTATATTATTTTTATTCTTCATTTTGTTTTTTGACCTTGTAAATGTCTTTCATTATCATGCTTTCATTTTCATGATAATTTTTTGGGATATCGAAAATCTGTGCAAAAAATCTTCACTAAATCGAAAAAACCATTATTCATGGTGTGATGCTTTCTTATAGTTAACTTTTTACCTTTCACTTTCATAAACATCCATCAAATCTTTATCTAACCCAAACACATTATCTCTTAATTATCAATTGATATACTTTGACATGAAATTTTATCAGCAGGAAAAATTACTTTTTCAGGCTTTAATTGATATGCATATTTCTAAATTAAATGTCACTCTAAAAATCAACGTAAATGAAAGTATAACCTTTCATAGCATAATTAAGCATAAAAAATAGTTTGAAGGTCATATGAGAATTTGAGAAATGCTAACGTTTTCCTCTCCCAATAGAACAACTTTGATGTTGGGTTTGTATTGATGTTAGAGTTGTTAAATGAAAGAGTTGCTTGTGAGCTCACTTGAGCTCGAGTCATTGAGGCTCAAAGCTTAACCTGGCTCGTTTAATAAACGGGTCGAGCTTGAGCTTCTTTAGTTAACAAGCAGAGCTAAGGTTCGAAAATAGGGATTTTTATATAATTTTCTATTGCTCGGCTCAAGTGGAGTTTGATTTATTAAGACCCGTTAATACTAATAAACAAGTCGGGTTTGAGCTCTTATATTGGCTTGTTTAGTTAACGAGCAGCGCCGGGTCGATAAAGACTTGAACCCGAGCTTAAACATCAAGAATTTGGGCTTGGGTCGATTCGGTTGGTTTACGCCTTAAATTGTTGGAGAAGGGAAGGTTTTTTTAGGCCATGGAGAAATTTCAAATGAAGATGAAAGTTTTGTGAGAAGATTAAATCGAATTCCTTTTAAACTCAATTTGGTAATCGACACACCTTGGGTCGCTATGGAAACAGCCTCCTTGTAATTTACAAGGGTAAGGTATGCGTACAACTGACCCCCCAGACCCCAACCTGTTTGGGAATATACCCAGAATATACTGGGTATGTTGATGTTGATGTTGATGTTGATGTTGGTAATCGACACACATCATTATTTGTGTATTTGCCATCTTGCGCAATGAATTTAGAGAGTTTTGACAGTGCAGCATAAATTTGTGCTGGGCAGACAGTAGATTCTATATACTGTAAAATTTTCTTAATTCAGAAATTAATTATATATGATAGTATTTGCTCAAATAATTAAGTTTATTATTGATGAAAGTAAACATTGGTACCTCTCCTTCTCAGTGCAGAATCCAACTGACAGCTTACTTATTGTGGCGGCGTTGGAAAGCCAGGAACCTTTGGGTCTTCCAAATCTTCGGGCTTTCTGATTACTCTGTTGTGCTATCAGCCATCGAATCGTCCTTGATTCCTCGATTGAATTTCGCTAATTGGGCTAGGAAAAGGTCAGCCGGGAAAACTCTATTCAATTCTCGATGGAAACGGAGTTTTGCGAATTCTTTTAGCTGGAAGGAGCAAACCTTTTAGCTCCTTCACCCTCCAACGATTCTTAGTTATTCTTAGTATTGCTCAAGTTTCTTCTCGTTTTCCTGCTTTTGGTCGGTTTGGTTCTTAGTTGCTATAGCGGTTTAGTTTCTTAGTAGCTTTAGTAGGTTGTTGGAGCTTGTTGTTGTTTCGTTTCCGATAGCGATAGACCCACTAGTGGCAGTGGCTCAATGGTGGATCGATCTTTTGT